CTGAGACTCCAGCGTGGGCTTTGAATCTCACCCAGGTATGATGTTGAAGGCTTTATGGTAGCTCTCTCCACTCATTTTGGACTGCACGACCCTGTGTCTAGGTGTATGTATGTTTGTATGCACAGGGAATCTGTTAACTGCCACAAATGGGCCAGTGTAGGGGGGTCTTTCACCTCGTGTTGTTTTGTCTATGATATTGTCAGCTATTTTTAGTTATTATTATTTTGTGTTCTTCATGGCAATCCTGCAAGGTTGGCCTGGAAGCTGTTCCAGTGGCCCAGTATAGACAGTATGTCCATATTACCTTACACAAAAAAATCCTTGTTCTAGTTTTCTCCCATATCATTGCTTTGTACCGTCTGAAATCTGTTCAATTTCATGCAATGTACGCTACACAACGTATTTCTTTTTCAGCTCATCTTAGCCAGAGTGCCCCTCCCGAGATTGGACTCTGTATCTGATTGCACCCCTTACACACTGTACCAAGATACACATTAAATCCGCTATAGACACAATATTCCTTATACACACTGCACCACTTTTACACACACACTTCTTACACACACTATTCCCCTATACACACACACTCTCACTCTCTACAGCCTCTAGAGGAAAGACCGCTAATGGAAAGTCAGGGAGAAAAGGAGACCACTAAGGGAGGTGGGGGGGAGAGGAGAGACCACTAAGGGGCAGGGGAGATCTCTAAGGAATGGAAGGGAGAGCTCTATAGGACAGGGGGACAGGGAGCTCTTTCACACCACGCGCACACACACACACACACACAATGCATCCCTATACACACAGAAACACAACATGCTTCCCTTACACACAGAGAAACACACAATGCAACCCTTACACATAAAGACAATGCATCCTTTGCACATATACACAGAAACACACAATGCATCCCTTACACACACATGCAAACACACACTGCTTCTCTTACACACACACAGAAACACAATGCATCTCTTACACACACTCAACGCACCCCTTACAGACACACACACTGCATCCCTTACATACACAGAAACACACTTTGCATCCCTTATGCATACAAACACAGATTCACACAATACATCCCTTATAAACACACACACACTGCTTCCACTACACACAAACACACTGCATCACCTACACAAACTGGTATCCCTATACACTACATTCCGTAAGCACACACATTAGATCCTCTACAGTAACACATAACACATCCCTGTGAGTTCATGGGTGGAACATGTAGGTGGACTTATGGGTGGGCTTTATGGGCATACTCACCGTCAGGCCCTGGGGCCCAGACCTTGAGCTATGTAAGAGGCCCCCAAAAATGGAGCTGCTTCCCGTTCTCCCAGAACATTGAATTTTGTGACCACAGTTACAAACAGCCTCCAGAGATCCTGTTCTACACCAGACCAGTGGAGCCAGACTGCAGCCAGAGCCCATCACCATCCTCATCTGATTGTAAGTAGACAATCTAGTATATTATTAGTGACACTAATCTCTAATTTACCTCACATTAAATGGACCCTATAGTCCCCAGAACCACTGCAGCTTAATAAAGTTGTTCTGGTGTCTATAGTTTGTCCCTGCAGGCTTTTTAATGTAAACACACACTGTGTGCAGCACTGGCATTAGTTCATATGGGTGGGGCATTGCGATGTTCTGCAAAAATCCTTGCACCGGCCCTGGGTCTCCCATTTTATTTCATGTTTTCATTGATCAGATCTCATTTATATCTGTGCTGAGGGTAGTGTCTGAAGGTATGTCTCAGTGATCCACTGTATACATGATGAAGAAGCCAAATACGTTGTCATACCTATATTAACTTCTACTGAGCTATTAGGCAGGTAGCATTTGAGAGAGATCTCCCTAGTCTTTCATATAGATCTTCGGGGGAAAAAGGATGCTTGGAATTTAGAACTGATGGACCATTAAGAAGCTAACTGATTTGAAAATGGAACTTACAGGGATCCCAAATGCTACCGTATTGAGCAGTACTGTACTTTTTGTTGTCAATCTTTATTTACTGTCGTTAAAAGTTGTACATTAAAATGAGAACAAAATGATAGATACTTCAAGCATCGACAACATGATACCGTTCCTGAAGTAGCAAAACTGCTAAAAAATTGTTAAATGAGACTGTGTTTTTTAAATGAGAAAATATAAGATAAAACAGTAAATCAAAAATTACACATCCGATGCCCGGGAGTTTTACTTTTTAATAAAACGTGAGATGAAAGCATAAACAGAGACAAATACAATTGTATTTATCTTAATGAAATTATTACCATTTTCATCAATAGGAAAATAATGCATGGGGATATTAAAGAATAGAAAATAGGAGCAAGAGTGTATTGATAGAGGGAAATGCTAATCATAATATCAAACTGTAACTTTATTCCTGCAATAACACATAGTAATGAATTATAAAAGAAATGACAAAGTGGTATGAATATATTTAACAAGATTTATAAAATGTTTTTTCAACTATTGTTTATTGAGCACACATTCACAAATTATATGTGCTAGAAAACATTAATATATATTAAAATAACATTGTAGGAACCTGAATGGATTAGAGATCACTACCAAAAATCTATTTTTTGCAATTAAGATGATTTAAAAAGTAATTTATAATCTGATACATAGATTTATTAAAGCTGATCATTAGAAGAAATAGTCTAAACATTGTAGTAGTGATTGTGTTTTTGCGAGTAAAGGCTTTCATGATATCAAATGTGCTATATGGAGATCATATATGGACATGTGTTCTAAATGGAAGATTCCACAAACTTCAGTGGACAGTAACATTTAAGATAACAAGGCTAAAAATACATTTGTTGTGTTATTTGTAGGAGTGAGAGAGGAAATTACATGTGGTTATTTGCAAATAAACATGTGCTTACAAAGGGAAATATCCACTAATATATCGTATCATTGCATCATGATTAGACATCAAATTGTGATGGGGTGGAGCTGACAGCCATACTGCTCAGTCACATCTCTTCAAAGCTCTGAGCAAAATAAGCTTCAGCTTGCTAAAAAACGCAGAAACCTTGATTTGCACGACCTTAAACTACCACCAACACTTACCTGAAGTCATGGGGCTTCGGAGCAAGAAATACAAACCCGACAGACCTCCAACAATGGACAATATTGGCGATCTGCTGTGGAGGCCGCAATCCACGCTGAGGCCTATAATGGTGCCGATGTCTGATGGGCCCTCTCGTACCTGACCTACTGGACACTGTGGATGCTGCTGAACTCCCACACCTATTTTGCAGGCTGCTCATGGTGCTGTTCTCCAAACAAGCAAAAGCCATGTTAATTGATGGCTGGTATCACATCCTGGGCCCATATACCGGCACTCCAGGCCCAAACAGGGATATAATCCTCCGTTTTTAACTGACCAAGGACTGAAAGACTCTCATGTCCGCGGTACACAACAGTACACTACTCAAATTTGAGGAGCACTCCCTGACCCTTTTCCCAGATCTCTCTAACAATACAATAAACTGGAGACAGTCTCTGAGACAGCTGACAAAATAACTTGCTGTACACAACCTGTCATAATGATGAGGTACTCCTTGCTGCCTTATAATTCCTAGAGACTCTGGCGCACTACTGGTTGGAGAAGCATCGGCGATAGCAGGTACCTTGCAGGCACCTGGGCTCACTGCTCGTACAGCTGAACCACCATCCACAACACCTCCGTTGACATCTGCGGTCTGGGACCCTGAAAAGATCCGTCTGTTTGTGCCTGCAGCTCGTCGGAGAGAAGCATCCTCAGCCCAAGTGCCATAATGACCCCGGGACACTCACGGCAGTTTACTGCCTTGTTATGTCATTTATGTTTTTTGTTTTTTTTAACATGCATTTGAGCTACTTATAATACCTATGATCTGATGATGTTGGTAAACTTTGCAAATATGCAATGCTCTGTTATACATCCCATTACTTCTAGCATCAGATGTCAGCTCTTATATTATATCTTGATATGTCTGACATATCTGCTAACTAACCTCCTCCGACCCACTCATTTATTAGTCGTTGAGATTATACACTGCCTAATTATATGGGGTTTTTCTTTGGCCTCTATAGCCTTGTTGACCGTTTAACTCTACTTATACTACCTAGAGGCATTGGAAACTACCTGCCTTAAGTAATTAATAACATTATGCTACACATGAATACAGGGAGTATCATATTAAAGCTACTAGCATACCTTTACTACTTATATTATATATATATATATAAAAAAAAGGGGGGGGGCAAATTCCAGTTCCAGTCTAGGCCTCAGATGATGTGTCCTGGTAGTATGATATATTGTATTGTGTCTAGTAATATGACATACCTTTCATTCATCTGTACTGTATTCATTCTGTTGCTTGCAAATAAAGAAAGAGTGACAAAAAAAAAAAAAATCTAATTGCGTTTAATTGATAAACCACATTTGATTTCACTGTATCATCTGTCAGAGTATTTATATCGGCAGACATCTTGTGCTATGATAGAAACTAAAAGTGTATATTCTGAGTCACTCTGAACAGACCAGACTCCATTTTGTTATTCCAAGTTAACAAAGAGACACAGGATTTCTTTCTGTAAGACTGGCCTCTTTGCCAGAGCTAAGGAATGCATAGCATAGTATAAACAAGTGATAAGAAGAATATAATCAAATCTAAACCCAGACAATTGTGACAGAGAAGATTAAATAATAAAATTTAACTGTCTATATATATGTAAGGTACCATTGTATGGAAAAGGGTAAACTTAGTTCATGATCTGCCATATCAGAAAAAAACTCAGATTTGCCAGACACATAGTCTGGACAAAATTTAAGAAACCCTTTGATCTTTGAAGGATACGTAAGTTATAGCCACTATCTAGATAGGCCAAAATGACGTCAAAATAGCCACCAGGAAAAGTTAACTCTTTCCTGGATAGGTATGTTTAGTGGGACAAGACTGCCCTCTACAGACCAAATAACTAATTTGCGATCTGGAAGATAACCACACCTCTAGTGCTTCTATTGGGTTATCAACTGATGACGTACAGAGAGTCTGGCCCTTTAAAAGTTAAGACAAAGGGAAGATAGAGATAGGAGGCAGATGCAAGAGATGCAAAGGAGAGGAGAGAGGAATTGGAAGTTTGGGGACTCCAACCTCCATGCAGAGAGACATCCAAATAAGTTCCTGAGACTATCTACCAATCGGATGAAATATCTACTCAACTGGTAATTATACTGGTTTCATTTAATTAATTAAATTAATTAAAATGTATTAATAGCATTATATATGACTGGATAAAGCACGGTCAGATTTCCATATTAAGAAATCTTAGTTAACTAAAGAATATATAGTTATAAACATTCCATTCTGCAGGTGGAATTAAGAATAATTATATATTGATGTGATATTATCACGTGTTAGCATACCGCTGTTTTTATCCAGGTGTATTGATTTGCTCTAAATTAAGATAGATATCTTTTAGACAAATTAAAAATCTGCTTATATAATATGGTAGATTCTCTTATTGGATGGTTTAAGAAAATGACTAATGAACTGGTTTAAATGTTATTTTATTTAAAAATTACATAAGAATAGATCTTAATTACCTAGGAGATCTAGCCAGCATTGAAAGGGTTATTCTAACTGTCTGCTAAACTTTACGACCTTACGCTGCATTCTGAGGAATTCTGTTCTTCCCTGTGAAAAGTTTCACTTTCAGTCTGTGAAAGCTAGTCATAAATCGTAGAAGTCTTGACAGATAATGCCGTTTAGCCATTGAAACGTAATACCCATTTCTTTGTATTGCATATCATTTTATACTGAATATTCATTGATTATTGTCATGCATGTTACATAATATTATTTGTTAATTATTGGTTATCATAAATAAAATTTATTTTTATACATTGTGATATTAATTATATGAAATACATTCCACTTAACACGATAAACGTTCTTTGGGATCTGAGAATTGAATTAGTGGGCAATTCTCAACTGTTACTATTATTATCCCATAAATATCCCCACACATCGTAAACACATTGTTTCTCTATTAAAATATTTTTTTGTGAAAACTTTATAGACTGCATGGTTTACGAGCATGAACGCAGTACAAACTGTCATAATCCGAGTGGCGTGACCTAGACTGTTTCACTACAAATTTCAAAATTTCATATCCAGCTTCTATAACAGCTTTCTCGATATCTTTCTTTGTTGTTGTCAAGCCATGAAACTTTTTTCTCCCAACATAGTAAAATGTACCATTCAGTGCACTCTGAATTATAATATGGCCTCCTGGTTTGAGCAAGTCCTTAAGGCTTTTCAGGGTGTTACAATAAGCAGTCACATCCTTAGAGGCAGACTCTAAGCAGAAACAACTTATTGGACAATCAGCTGGTGGAAGAACAAGTGGCTCAAATGGATTCTTCTTCAGTACGTCACATTTCAAAACTTGCTTCACAGTTTTGCGGAGTTTCTCTTCCTTTTCCTCTAAATTAGCACTGGAAAACAGAAATGGATATTAATGAAATAGCTCTGATTTTTAATAAAGAGGAGAGTGGGAGATTGGTATATAAGTTCAGTAGGGTTAAAAGAGCAGGGCATGGACCCAGATAATGAAGTAATGAGAAGAAAAGGGCTAGCTCTTGCCCCAGAAGTATGGTTAAAGAGTGAAAAAAAATCGCATCAAAGAAAAAGACAGTGATCTATTCACAATATATACAGTGTAATATATATATATTCTATATTAAAAGTTAAGTTTTAAATGTGCATTTGATTTGATCACAAAACATTATAATATACACAACACTTTACCATCAACCTTTATATAATATTTATTTTATTTGATGTCCAATTCCCTGACAATGCTGCTAATTGTTCAAGCTACTAGCTTGGGTCATGATTTATTAAGCTTTCCAAATGAGCCAATACTATTAGAAAATAAATATACGTGCATTTGAAGAACAGATTTTCTTGTCCATCACTTGAAGTCGTCTGGAGACTGAGTGATCTCAGTAAGTTTAAACATGTGAACCCTTTGATGCTCTTGAGTTTCAGTTGCATAGTCTATAACCCATTAAAATATTCCACATTATAAAAATGGTGATACATCAGCATCTATTCACTAAATGTTGGATAATAATGAATTGAAACTATATTAAAAAATGTGAGCTATATATGGGGCACGTGGGATTCAAAAAAAAAATGAATGAATAATAGAGAGGTGGATTTATTTTCTCGGCATGGATCATTTAGTTTTTTCATATTTATTATTTATTAATTTTATTTTTGATGTCTAACATATTTCTGTTATATATTGCTTTTGTTTTTAGAATAAGATATACAAGATTATGTCAATTGTTTTTTATACCCTAGTTTCCCTTTTTCCCCTCTATTTTCTATTTTGTTGTTTTATATAGTCAACATTGCTTAATTGATATTTTTCTTTTATCATATTAACATTTTATCTGATATTAATTCTTTATAGATATATTGTATTCTACTAACTGTTGATGATAGTGTTAGTAACTATAAAAAAATTCATTAAAAATATTTGAAAAGAAAAAACATTCAAATCTAAAATACCCGTGGTTGGAAATCAGCACTTTTTTGCCTAAACGTTTGCAATTTGTTGTTCTAATTTTTAATGCTTCAATATTTAATTAATAAACCTCATTATGTTTGTGAGGCAAGCAAATTTTTTATAAAATATAGAATATTTTATTACAAATATATTCTCTAGGTTTATGTTTGCATATCATTTGAGGGAAGTTCAATCACAGTTTCACTTAGCTTTTTTGCTTGTGAGTTTTGGCTCACACTCATATCTGTGCCATAAACGTGTTACCTCCTAGCATTAGTATCAAACTATATTCTTCTTCATTACAAAAAAAAAATGTCTTAATAAATCTTCATTGTTGGATATATCGTACCTTTTCCCTTCTAGATCACAAACAAACTTTACATATGGGGTCCAGTCCAACATATTAGAGTCCTTCTTCAGCCATTTCTTTAGTTCGGTGAGATTTTGCTCCAGGAAGTCGGAAATGATAATATTGGTAAAGACTTCACAAGCTGAGAGCAGTTCAAAGATTGCTGATCCAGCACCGATATCAATCAGTGTGTTTCCTTTAACAACTCCTGAAATAAAATATATATTTAGATATATGAAACTCTAAATTTGTTAAATTTTCAAAAAGCCGGCATATTATTTTTTGTTAAACAAAATAATCAAGGTTATGTTTAACAAGTATGTGGGTTGTTGATCCAAGGAGAAATCTGATTTCCATTATGCAGTCAAGAAGGAATAATTTTTCACTTTTTGGGCATAATTTGCTATCACTTCAAATTGGGTAATTTGACTTCTTTTAAATCAACAGGATAAAAATATATCTTTTAAATGCTGTTGTGCCGAAGAAGGAAATATATCTGAATGTTCCTTGTTTCTATATCTGCTATCCATCCCATTACCACTAAATAAAACATTTACTTGCAAATGGTAAAATTTGTCTTTCTTTTTTCTTTAACAATGGGAAAATGATATCACTTTGATTTTTTTTCTTTTTAATTTTTTTATTTTAATAATGTTCTATTTCATTTTCCCCCTAATTAACCAACTTAAATATTTGACATCACTGGACATAAAGAGTAACTATAAGAAATTAAAATAACTTTATTTATTGGTTTGCCCAGGTCTCGAGAATTTAAAATATATAAAGAAGAAAGTCATCTGGGCACAAGGTTATAAAATCCAATCTCCATGTAAGTAGATGTGTTTGAATGTTTTTTGTTCATTTTTAATCACAGGGTCAGCAGATGTGTAGTATGCTATTAATATTTTTGCTTATTATTATTTCCAAAATTTCAATTGTGTTTCCTGGTTTGGGCTAAACTGTATGAGAATGATGACTGTAAGCAAAACGACATGTTTCAACAATGCATACTAATGCAATGTGGATACTCTTTTAAATCAGTAGTTCCCAACTCAGTCACTGAGGTACGCTAAAGTCAACATTTTATCATTATCCACAGTGGATTAGACTTGGAAAATGCCTAGGTCCAAGACTGTCTGTGTGCCTTAAAGACTGGTTTGTGAACAACTTATTTAGAAAATGCATATTCTATGGATTGTGACTCCCATTTTTCATAGACTGATATTTCAAATGTGTCCCTCACCTACACAGAGAATTCCCTAAGTTTGGATTTTAAGGGGGTACCTTAACACCTAACACTATTCACTCCTCAGCACTAACCTTATGTACACCTTTGGCCTAAACGTAATCACCCTCTAATACACGTTTTAACATCCTGGGACAAATGTTCTCTCAATAATGAAACTATAATGATGCTCAATTTAATTACCATAAATGATACCACACTCTCCTGGATAATAGGCTGCAACTGGGCTGAAGTTGGCCAATCCTCACAATGTAATTTATTTTCGAAAACTAACGATGGTCCAGGCACTCAAGGTAAATCCAAAGTGAGCAGGTTTAGTGGAGCAGATGAAAGCAACATTTTGTCCACAACCAGGCCTTTTGTCAAGTTTTTCATGTGTCATGACTCACCTTTTATGACAATATATGAGTTTGGATGTGAGGGAAGCAATGTCTACCCATGTTTCTTGCACCGTTTTATTTTTTTCTTTATGCTTCATATCATTCAAAACAATTACTATGTGAGCAAATTACTGTCAGCACAGTAAAGGTAGCTTGAAGTAGTGGAGAACAAAATATTATAAAATTATCTTACAGATCTATTTGTATTGATGCAACTCAGGAAAAACTGCCTAGAACTCACACTTACTATGACAGCTAACAGGGTTATTTACTAAAGTGAGAATTGTTGGGAATTCAAAGTGAAGTTCATGTTTAAAGCCAAAATAGCAAAGCTGGAAACATTCTCCAAGTCAGCTGTGCTTCTAGTTCAGGTATGTTGGCCTTAAGTTGGAAATTCACTTTCAATTTACTTTGAATTCTCAGCAATCCTCGCATTAGTGAAAAAGTCCAAAAATCATAAGACTTTAAGGACATTCAACATCACAAATGGACAAAAAGCCAGCCAATCCAGGAGTGCAAAACTACAACTGTGATGATGTTCATCATACTTAAGGACTAACTACCTATCATGTAAAATATAGTTCCATTACATCTGAGGATCTAAATTTTGGCCATTCTGGTCTAGGAATCAAGTAGCAAACT